TTAGTGGTTTCTGTGAGAATCCATTAGCTTCTGTGGTTCAAGAAAGATTTCCATTTGGTTGGTTCAAAAACAAACTGGGTGAGTTTCTCTTGGCTAAGACGTTTAAAGGAGCCTAGAGTATCAGATTGATGACTTTGCGTTACAAAAGATGTGTTGCACAAAGTTAAGTTACAGGCCATTTTATTTCTCTGTCTGTTTTCCAACAAAAAGTCTGATGTCTTCTCGTGTTGCCTCTAATGCAGTTGGGAGAGGTCACGACCCTGTGATGTAATCAGCTCTTATCTCTGTTGATGCAGCTAACGGCTGTATTGTGCAGCTCTGGACGTCAGCCACGGCGCTGACTCAACCGAACAAATGTCGCCTGCAACCTGACTCTGATGCTTTGTGTTACTGTGATAACAGTACACGGTGTGTAACGCAGCGTAAACACCAACCTTCATGCTGATGGCTGTGTCCCCTTTGACAAGAGTCCACTCGTAACGGTTGATGCCGTGGTCGTCCACACTGTCCCTGCCGTCCAGCACGGCCCAGTCCGTGGGCAGCTGGATAACCACGTCCTGTCCGGCGTCGCTGCGGGGGGGCTCGTCCGCCTCTGAAGACATGATTGGACCTCATCAGAGATTGAATATTTATTTTATTTCGTTTCCTTTCTGCATGGCAGACATACAGCTGTTTAGGCATAAAAAAAGTTAAGAGCATATTCATTTAATTATGGAAAATATAAAAATATATTTTTTTGTTGAGATAAAATTAATTAACACTTAGAAATTGGTGCCTCAGTGTTAACTCGCTGCCGACCAAATCTTTGTTGCTGTTTGTCGTTTGTACCACGAGGCGTCACTGTTAATTGATGGTGAACAAAGGAATCTTCAACATACTGTAAACAGGAAATTAGAGCTCGTCACAGAAACGGACGTCTGTCCTCTGTCTGTAGACATCGAGCCAACCTGAGGAAAATAGTTCCATTTCCTCCAGTTTGGCTGGTGTAAAAGCAGGTGTCGCTGTTCTCAGCCTCCTGGTCTAATTTTGGAAACCTGGACCTAAAAGGTAGATCATTGACTCAACCCTGTCTGTTTTATCAAGATAAGCCCTGGACTGTGTCATAGTCTAAGCACCACTGTGTGTGTGTGTGAAACCTAACTCTGCAATAAATCCATATCTAGTGGTGAAAAACATGAACTGCTACAGGGTAAAACTTTTTAAAAAGTGAGTGAAGTATAATCTCAAGGTCATAAAATTAATCATAAATTAAAGACAAGGTAATAGTCGACTGTAATTTTTTTTTCCAGAACAGTTTACATTCTGTAGTCTTCACTCACTTGATGTTTTTATGGTGCTCGGTAGAGGGCGTGTCACCTCAAAACGGGAAATATAACGTAATCTGTGACTCTACACACCTGTAAACATTCATTGTATTTTATATTTTTATTGATAGGTTTTCTTTTCTCTATGTCGCCCCCTAAGGGTGACGTTAATACAGTCTAATCTAAAGCATTTTGAAACCCCATACATGTATCCCTATTGGTCGCTTGATGAACTACAATATGTAATTAATCAATACGTTTATTAATTAACACCTTTATATTTTATTCAGTTGGTTAAAAAAAGTGTGTCTTCAACATATGGTCAGTTTAATTACAATCACTAACTGATCTTCAACATATGGTCAGTTTAATTATAAGTATAATAGTGACTTAATGTTATATTATTAACTCTTCAAGTGCAGGATGACTTATTTTACGTTGTTGTTTTTAATGTGAATACTGTAATAGCTGCATGTCCCACCTGGTGCCTCGTTCTCCTCCTGTCCGGGCCTCCTGGCAGAGGAGGCTGCAGCAGGGAGGTGGCCCAGTCCCTGTGTGCTGTTCGCGGCCCTACTGTAGGATGTGAATCCCTCCTGCGCAGCGAACAAACACACGTTTTTGCCCCTGTAGGTGCAGTTGAACAGGTAGCAGCTGATCCTATCCCCGCTCCTCTTCACGTCCTCCTGCACCACCGCCAGCGTGCAGTGCGATTCCCGGCAGCAGGCGTGCAGACAGTCCCTCCAGCTGTACAGGGGCTCCGGAGCCAGCAGGAAGGTGGCCCCCAGCTCGATGGAGTCTCTGGCCCGGATGATACGCTCCCCGACGGCGTCGTAGTCGCCCAAGCAGGAGTCGACGGTCGCATCCTCTCCGCCTCGGAGCTGCTGACGGAACTCCTCCAGCAGCTCCTCCACCCCGGAGATCTTAGATTTCAGATCCGAGATGGAAGAGGAGCGGGAGACCGCAAAGCCGAGAAAACAAAACGGGAAAACGGCGGCGAGCATCCTCAGAAGAAGGGCCATGATGATGACGACGGTGACGAGCGCAGTCTGTGACTGTGGATGAAGATTCTGCGACGCATCAAGATCGTCCTGCACGAACAACAACCGCCGCTGTGTCTCCGTAGCAAAACAATATATATTTTAATGTTATAAGTGTTATCACTTCCGTAACAGATCAGAGGATGAAGGTTAACAGCGACACCAGAGTCAAGAACGTGAAGGTGAGGAGACGGGAGCGACTGATAGGACGCTACTTTCAACCAACGCGCTGACGTCACAATAATGATGTCAGAAACCGGAAGCGGGAGTCGCTACTTACACCTGAATCTCTCCAGTCGGATATTGATTTCTCAAAGTTTATTTGAATTAGAAATAACAATAAGAGTGAAAAAGAAAAGAAGAAAATTAAACAATTATATAAAAAAATCTCACTCCTTCTCCTATTTTTAACTATTATGTTAATACCACGACACTATATATAATACTAATAATAATATATGGAAAATAGTGATGACTTAACACTCCTATCATTACAATATATCTTCCTTATATCCCATAAACATAATACTAATAATAATATATGGAAAATATCCAGTAAAATTATGACTTAACACTCTTAACACTCATTACAATATCTCTTCCTTATATCCCATAAACATATTTGTTTTTGTTTTCAATTTCTAACCCATTTTACATAAATTAATTCACTTATGAAAGACGGTAAATACGTTTTTTTCCCAATGGTTTTACAAGAGAAAACTCTTAAAAAAAAAATACAAATTGTTGTTTTAATATCCACCAATATGAAGCTGTTACTCCAGCACTAGGTGTCGCTAAACACGTAAACGTCCTGCAAAGTGTTCCTCTAAAACGTATTATAAACTTTAATAAACTTTAAAAAACTTTTATAAACTGAAATAACAAACTCCGGGATCTTTAATGTGACATGTTTTTTCCATCACAACATAGATGTGGCTGAATGACTGCATCACATCATTACAATAAAGTCAGTGTACAAGGTTAAAAAGAGTAGAATGCTCCCATGTAACATTAATTACTAACAGATCATCACCTCGAGAAAATACATAAAATACACATCCCATTTATCATTCACGTGTTCAATATAGAGTGAACCATGTTATGGTTAAATATATATATATATTTCAAAATACATAAATGTGATTCACATATAATTTAGAACACAATATATACATGTTTCTGAAAAATAAAAAAGTGGAGATTTGTGATTTAAAAAAAACAACAAAATTTTAAAAAACAACAGTACAAATGAAATTAAATAAGTCTCAGTACAGATGAAATAAAGAAACAGGGCATGCACTCACATCCTTCAGATTAGTCCATGGCAATTAAATTAATTAAAGTCCATTTAAATAAAGTAATGATATGATGCCTATAGTTATAAAAAGCACAATTTTTTTAATATAATGTCATATGTTTTGTATCTCAGGCCTCTGTGATAGAAAACAGTCAGTTCTGTAAACGCTCAACATCTTCTAAAGTCTGGAGAAAACGTTTGAAGAGTTTATGGAGAATTGTTTTTCAGCCATATTTTTTTTAAATTTGTTTTGACACAACTGTAACAAATAAGACAAACCCAGTGGCACTGCTCAGTGTTGGTTGACTTCACATCCTTGATCCTTGTTTCAAAGCCATGGTTTGAAGTTCACAACATCCTTGGGATCTGGTACTTTCCTATGCATGTGCGCGCGCACACACACACACACAACGAACTCTGGCTCGTCTGAAAATCTCACTTGTATAAATACTGAGGTAAAGAAGAAAATAGTCACTGGGAAAATCTTCCAGGTTTCCTCTGCGTGGTCAGTGCAGTTTAAGGCATCAGGTTTTCTTTTGTCTGTAGTCTGTGATGGTTTTCCACAATTTACACAGGATTCCGCCTCTGTCAGGACACAAACAGTGACAGTTACTGCACTTTACCGCCCGCTAAAATACAGGGCTGTGATTGGTGGAGACATGTCAATTGGCTGTTACTCTGACAATAACTAGAATCAAAGATGGCCGCAAGCCACTGGTATCGTAGTCGCTGTACTTTTCCTTATCTCGATAGTTAGAAATTACCGTAGCTTCGCTTGTTTATACCGATAAACAATTTTATATTTATAATCGCGTGGTATATCGAATATAAAAGTGTATGTACTAATTATTGTGGTTTCGGTTGATCTGTATTCGCCGAATTACCGTGTGTGTGGATGACAGTATGCTAATAATCTCGGGGCTAATATGAGATGCTCTAGCTCCAAGACTGCCGCGCCCACATAGCGTGTGCTCTGGTGCTTCTTATCACAGTTTTTAAAAATATATTCGCCTACAAATACCATGTAATAAGTCCACGAATAATGTTTTTAAGCCGGGATTTTTATTTCGGGTGGTTGTTTGTGCGTGAACGATCGAGAGCACGGTAATACGTCTGAATTTGAATGAGTCAGAATTACCCGGTAAACACTTCCGAAATAGATTTAAATTCAATACAAGTGACTAACAAAATTATATTAGGCTACATAATACAGTATGTTTTATTATTTGTTTATGTTTCATATGCCTCAAATAGCTCGGGCAAAAGTTATTAAAAACTTACAGACTATATTTTTTGTAAAAAACAAAACAACAAAAAAACAAACACTATGACCTATACATTTGATGAATGATTCAAAAACTTTATATATAATATATTTAAACAGTTTAAAAAATAATTTAAAAAAATAAAAACTTTATATATAATATATTTAAACAATTTCAAAAAAAAAAAATATTTTCTTACCTTATCTACCACTTAAAAACGATTTTCTTACCTTATCTACCACTTAACACCTCTGTGTGTTTTTATGCCTAAATAATCAAGTATTATTATATTTAAAGGGGCAGTATGACCTTAGTATCTTACTTTTAGTGAAAAACAGTGTACAGCAGTATATTTTGTGTTTTTTTTTGTACCTCAGTCTTAAACTCTTCAAGTCGTCTCTGGTTACATCATGGAGGATGTCGTTCAGTGTGTACTGTTCGTTTAAAATCTGAAGAAACATGACAGAAGAAAAAAAACAAAAATAAACAAACACCGTGAGTCTGTGTTTGTTCCATAGTGAATACATGGTTCTGCTATGTGTGACGGGGACTCACCTTGTCTATAGAGTCCTGGTCTGCACCCTGGAGCCTCAGCCAGCTGCTCAGCTCTGAGTCTTCAAATCTCTCTGCGGTCTGACTCCTCTGGGCTTCAGAGGACGACTCAGGAACGTCTGCAGAGAAAAGACCAAGCCGGTCTTTTTAGACTAAATTGTTTTTCCTGATTTAATTAGGACTAGTCATTAAGTATCTTAATGGAAGATGAAAACAGACAGACCGGTGGGCTCAGATCTCAGCCTCAGTAGTCTGATCTCCTGCTCTCTCTCTTTCAACACTTGCTGCAGTATGGCCTGATACTCTCTCTCCTTCTCCAGCAGCTCTTCCAGCAGCCTGCCGTCAGGTAAGAGGAGAAATTAGATTTCCTTAAAAACACTTTCTGAAAGTTCCTGCGTGCGTAGATCTGTGTCACCTGTTAGTCTCCAGCTTCATCCTGCCCAGCTCCATGCTCACAGAGCGCTGTGCATTTTGGCACTCCTGTGAGACGGTGGAGCTCAGCGTGCTGACCCCTGACGTGGCCACGGTGTCGTCGTGTGTGGCTACAGGAGGCACTCGGCTCTGATGGGTGGGGTTCCTCGCAGCCTCGCCGTCATCTTCGTCGACATCGTCCTGATCGGCGGCGTCGCTTTCTGAGGCCAGACTGAAGTGAGGCCTCAATTCTGGAGACCAAGGTGAGACCCTGACTTAGTAACTGATCAACTGGATCAATGTGATTTATCAAATCACTGATGTTAGTTTCAAACTGCGTTTTAAGCATGTACCAAAATGGTGTTTGTCATCTGTCATTGGAAATTCAAAGAAAAAAAAAATGGTTCTTTTAGTTGAAGGAAGTACCTGGTACAAGTATCGTTATGGCCGTCTGCACAGCTTTACGGATGATGTTGTCCAGAGCGAACATCCAGTGAGGCTTGATGTTGTGGTTTCGCAGCACTTTATTCACCTAGAAATGTCACATGGTTCATGGTCACGAGAAAAAGATTCATCATAATGTGAAAAACTAAATATACTAAGTCTTTTCTAAATCTAAATTAATGTTTGTTTGTTTTTTCAATACAAATGTCTTATTTTCTGACATTTAGAGAATTCATTTACCATTTTTAACCACACATTTAAAAGAGTTGAGTGTGTTTTTATTGACCAAGAGGGGGCAGCAGTGCCTTATTTTTCCGTAGCATTACGCAACACATCCTCAACACCGTAACAACCACTTATTCCTGTGCTGTTCTAACGTGCACTTATTCCTCACACATTCCGTGTTATTCTCTCACTTCAGTGTCTCTCACATCACCGTGTGTGTGAGAGCTTCGTGCAGCAGGAGCAGCACACAGCTGCAGAACCATGTTTTTTGAAACAGGTTTTAAATCATCTAAACATCTTCAACCTGCGCAGATATTCAGTACTGCCGTAAACACGTGGAGTCGACAGGTGGCACTAAACGTGTAAATGAAAACCACATTTACTGACATCTGCTGTATGACAGAGGGAACACTGTGTCATTGCATGTGTGTTTTTCAGGGTTTTTTTTAAAAACCTAAACAGTTTCTGTGTTTATAGGCATCATTGAAGAAACTTTTTAAAAAAAATATTATCTGTCACCTCAGGGCAGGAGTGTCTGCTCTAGCACAGCTGCAGATTGTGGCCATGATGGATTATCAGTGGAAAAATGTGAAATATTTTGGGTCTGCTGTTACTCGTTGATTAATAACAGTCAGATCAATAATTCATTAATCCATGAACTGAAGTCCTCCAGAAGATTTGCCGAAATGGCCTGTCGGTTAAAACCACCCCTGTGTGTGATGTACTCACAGCATCTTGAAATCCGAAGAGCACCACCTGCAGTTGACTGATGGCAGTGCTGTCAAAGTCCAGCTCCAGTTTGAGCTGTGAGAGCGTGTTGGCGATGATCTTCCTATCTGCCATACGGACAAAATCCCCAAGACTGACCACCAGGGTGGAGATGTGCTGAGGCTTCAGTCTGGTCTCCTCGGAGCCCTGCAGGTGAGACAGTCAGGAGAAGGTGAGGAGGTTTATGGATCAGTGAGCTCATCTTTATGATAACTGTTGTATCTGAGTCTGAACCAGACCTGTGTGAGCGCCTCCATCAGGTTGGCCACCACCTTATCCTGGTCCTCTGTCAGAATGTGGTGCAGTGTCGCTCGTCTCTCGCTGTCTTTTCGGAGCATGAAGAAGCCAGAGTCCTTCTCATCAGGCGATGGAGGAGCACTGTGGTCCTCAAAGTTCTCCACGGGAATGCTGCGTTGAAATAAAAAAGTACTGATGCTACTGATTTTTTTTTAAAATTTCATTTCAGTAGTTTCCAGAACAGTATGTTAAATTAAACAACCAACTATATATATTTTTTATTTAAATACTGCAAATTATCTTTATCTATGTGACCGTGGCCGGCAGTACAATTACATATCCTGCCGCTAGGTGGCAACAAATGGCAGTAAGAACTGAAAAAAGCTGTTGTGTGTGTTTTTCTTTCAATTCCTGTGAGTACATCAGTGTTGTGTTCAAATAAACAGGCCCAGGTTTCACACTAAGTGTGCAGGCAAACTAACAAATCTGATAACAGTATCAAATGTCACACTTCATTTTTTTAAACTCAGATCTGGTTGTTCTACCTGAGGAACAGAGAGCGCGGCCCCTTGACGTCCCTCTCGCTGTAGCACTTGATGCTGGGCTTGAAGATGAAAGGGTTGGTGTTGAGGTCGTTGTCAGGGGAGACGGAGCCGTACTCGCTGCTGCTGCTGGTGTCCTCCACCACCACGGGCACGGGCAGAGAGATGCTGCGGAGATACTCTGAACGACACAAGAACATTAGGTAAACATATAAAACCTGTTTTTTTCTGCAGAGTTTATATGGAATGTTAATCATCTGACTAGCTGTTGTAGCAGAGGTGGAGGTGGAGGAGGAGGAGGCTGTTTTTGGCAGCTGCTCTTTTCTGCTGTAACAGTGAGAACTAGAGCTTCCTGTTGATAAAATTAGATTCTGATGGAAAATGTTGTCTAAATTTCTGTAAAAAAAAGACTTAAGACCAAACAGGTTCATCTAACTGTACTCATTGACAAACAGTGTCCATAGATTTATGGCTTATTTTTTTGACCTATGTTTCTGTGCTAACTTTAAGCTAGTTTCTTGCTCACATAATGTGATTTTCTGCTCACTTGTGTGAGTCTTTTGTTTCAAACCGCATCTGATTTCCTTTAAATTACTGTGTCGACACATGAAAGTTATAGACGTTGCTTCCTTTAAATAGCCCTAAAAAATGCATTAAGAACAAACAGCATCCTATAGGGCCCATTGAAGGCTATGACAATGAGCCAATTCACTGTTATTATCGTTATTAAAATATCTCCATTAGATTAGCAGAAAATATAAAGGGTAAAATATAGCAAGTCAAGGCTGGCAGAAAAGACATTTAACTACAAGCATACATATATGATCTAGAGTCATGACAAACTCCCTGAGATAACTTTGTAAATTAGTCATAAAATTATTAGTTACAAAAATCCAACTCACCTGTCCCTGGTGATAGAGCTGTAAGAAAGAAAAAAACAAAACAAACAAGCATTACTTTAAAAAAATAAATAAATGGATTAAAACTCAACAAACCACTAAAATGACCTCCACAGGCTTATTTTATCAAAGAAAATTAAAAGTATGTGTTTTTTTGTTTTGTTTTGTTTTTTTTGTTTTTTTTTTAAGGCTAAAAACTAAATATGTTAGTGCATTAACAGATTAGACACAAAGAAGAAGAAAATGTTCCAAGGCCAAAAAGTCTGGGAATTAGTGCTCTACAAGTGCCGAGGTAGAATAGTATAAAAAGTATTAATAAAAATATAAAATATATTGTAAGGTTTTCTCTGCCTCCACATCACTGCTGCAGGTTTTAAACCAGTGTCCACCGAGTACAACGTTGAGCCTCTGTATCACTGCTGTTGTGAGACGACACTAACGGCAGAACACAGATTGATTTAATGTGATTAAAGCAGAACTTTCTGTCTTGGAGTCCACCCAAGGGACAGTGTGAGCAGATTTAATGCAGTTCCTTTCTGTCAGCAGGGAAATGAGGAAACAAGTGTTTTATTGAATAGTTCCTGTCGCTGACGGCAGCTTTAAATTTAGACATTTAAATAGAAAAGAAGAGAAAAAAAAAAACTTGTAACAAGGATTTTTTCAGTAAAATGTAATAATGGTAGTTGTAGCAATAATAAACATGATTATATATTTCTAAAAAAAATTTTAATCAATTAAAAATGTTACTGGTCCACAAAAAATACATTTTATTCTAAATGTATTTACATATATGTATATTATGTAATAGAATTTTTTATAAGAGCCTGAATTTTAAGTGAATTATAATTTCTTTTGTTTTTTACTTTTCTTCATAACCTTTAATTCTCCATCGATTCCATTATTGAACCATACGTGTTTGTAAAATTTCATATTGTTTTTCTGTGTGAATCTTGAACCTGTTAATCCTTGTATTTAACACCAAATATATTGTAACTATGGTAACGCTGTGTGTGCTGTGATGTAACTATGGTAACACTGTGTGTGCTGTGAGGGGATGTTTTATTTAAACTTCAGTCTTAACCATTAAGGTGAATGCCACCTGTGAATCCTCCTTTGCCCTTCTTCTTGCGGCTGGTGACTGTGAGGAACTCGTCCGTGAGCAGGTCCAGAGCTGTGGCACGCCGGTCCGGGTCGGGCTCAAAACAACGTAAGATGAAGGCCTTGGCCTCCAGAGACATGGACTCTGGGATCTCTGGATGGATCTTAAACATGCCCACCTGCAGAGAGAAGGAGACGAGGAGGTAAACAGAGAGTGTTTACACTGTTCTGTGGGCAACGGCGCTCGGAGTTCAAGTCTGACGACAATGAGGAGACAAGAAGTTCCTGCTAAAGCCGACCAAATTGTTGACTTAGGATTAGCAGGTAGACGCCCGGCACTGAGAAATTCCACAAGGATGAGTGAAGAGAGCGCAGAGGGATGGTTTAACTACTTCGGAAAAGTCAACACGGCAACATGAAGTTCCTTTAAGAACCTGTCGCTCTGGGCAAAGTTCTTTAATTTTGAGCACATTTAATGATTAACCCTTCTTTGATGCTAAAGGGGTTTGTAAAGCAGCTAAACTTTGGAGTGAAAACAGTGACATGAAGCTGTTTTTGGTGCAAAATCATTCCTGGTAAATGAAACACTGTAAGGAGTGACCATGGATTAAAAATTAACGTGCACATTAAGATAAAATCACAATTAGAAAAAAATTGTATCAATAAAAAATATCCCTTTTACATATATGCAAATATATGTGTACGTAAATATACATATATTTTTAAATATATTATGTATATATAAAAACTTGTATTAGTACATGTATATGTGTGTTACATATATAAAGTATATGTGTGCATCTATGTACTGTATATACAGGTGCAGAGATATAAACATATGCGTTTGTTTTCTCTCTCACCTTGAACATGGCAGCCTGCGGTTCTCCCAGCTCGTAGAACGGAGGTTTCCCAGTTGCCATCTCTATGATGGTGCAGCCCAGAGACCAGATGTCGGCCGGTTTACCATATCCACGAGGACCTTTGTCTATAATTTCTGGAGCCATGTACTGGAGCGTGCCTGAAAAACGATGTGGGAGTTTTAAGATCGTGGAGATGACGGTGAGAAGAAAACACACACACACACCCCCCAAAAATTGAATCATTTTGTCAAAAGTTAGCAAAAAAGCTAAAGATGAGAAATGTAGCTTAAATCTGATGAATAAAGCAAAAGTTAGAGGTAAAAGAGTAAATGTACGTAAAAAACAATAATTGCTTTACAAAGTTTCTAACTGTCTCTGTGATATAAAAGAAGTCATTGATTAGTAACTACTGTCAAATTCATAATAAAAAAAAAATGAATTAGTCATCAAGAGGCAACAAGAGACATGTTGGTTTCAAAGGAGAGAAATTCAGCAAAATATGTTTTCTGTTCCGAGACATGTTGGTTTCAAAGGAGAGAAATGTTTTCTGTTCCAGCTTTTCTGAAAGCCTGACTGACGTCAGGATAACCTCTCCACGCAGCAGTGACGGTGACATAAATAATAGGAAGAGAGCAAATTTGTATAAAGTGTTCAAACTGATTGACGTCACATCCAACTGCTGTGTGGGCGGTTATTGAGTGACACAGATTCAAAAATACCAAAAATAGTTTTTCATCATTAGTTCTAATTACACGTCGACCCCGTTTTTGAAGACACGGCTCAAGTGACGGAGGCTCTAACCCTCTTTGAGCTGCTGTATAATCACAGCTCAGTCCACAGTAACAGCTTTGGGTTCTATTCAAAGGACTTCTTTGTTCTAATAATAGTCGTCAGCCTGTGTTTTTTGCTGCTGAGAACTGAGCTAAAAACAGACAGCCCTGCATTTATAGCATGCCGGCAGTTATAAAAAGGTGTCGCCCATTTTCCTGAAACAACTCCAGCCTTCAGGGTGAGTCCCGGTCTGCACCAATCAGCTGTCAGAAGGAGGTCAGACCGCGCTGGGGCCCGCTGTGGTCTGACCACAGGCTCTGTATTCTCAGTGATATCACCGACTGGAGCTGTGATTGCTAAAGAAAAGTAGGTTTACTCCCTCCCTAGCTGTATTCATGGCAAAGCAGCTCTATTTCCAGAGGAATTTAGCACACACCCAGGGAAATTAGCTCCGTCAGTCAGTGAGTACCTGTGAAAGTCTCGGTGCAGGGGTTGATTCCGGCCAATCTCTTGGACGTGCCAAAGTCCGATATCTTCAGGACGCCGCTGTAGGTGTTGATGAGGACGTTGTCGCCCTGCAGAAAACACAGTCAGTGAGGAAGGCATGTACTGCGCACTGGTTCTGCAACTACAGACTTTCCAGAATGTCATAGTGCTACGATGAGGTGAAAGGTCACGAGGTCATAAATAAAGCAGAGCCTTCCTGGTATCTGTGTTATGAGCTGTGCTCCAGCCTAAACAAGGTGATTAACAGTGATGAGCCAAAGGTCAACCTCATGTAAACACCCTGACCTACTGTAACGGCCGTCAGTTGTAAACACCCTGACCTACTGTAACGGCAGTAAAACAGTCATAAAACCAGGAGGATTTCATCTCCCATATTTAAAAAAAACCCAAATTCACCTTATTCTAACACACAGAATAAAGATTTTTCGTAAACATGGATTAAAACAGCAAAAACTGGGCCACAGACTGTCACACATGAGCTCTGAGCAAATTCTTACAGCACACACATCACCTGTTAATCCTGGTAAGCAACGGTGAACTTTTTGACCTAAAGGATTTCTGATAAACACAACAAAAGCAGGAGTTTTCTCGCACCAAAAACAACCTAAAAAAAACCCTTTAAACCTTTAAAAAAAGCAAAGCAAAAGAAAACCTGTTTTACTGCACGTAATATTTGTGCTGATTGACACCAAACAGTAGAGAAAAATGTGAACCTGTCCTTTAATCCTCTTGCAATGAAACCTGATACAAGAATTTAATCTTCTGCAGCTGCAGTCGTCTAAGCTGCTCCAAATGTTTTTTTGTTTTGTTTTGCAGAGAAGCTTCAAGTGATCACCTGTCAGTTGCACAGTTTTTATATATTTAAATATACAAATATACAGTGCACCGCTCTCTCTCTCTATATATACTGTATATAATAACTATATTATTGTGCAATCAAAGTTTAATTACACTAAATGCAAAGTTATAAATTGCACAGAGGAATCAGCTGGGTCTTCAACCTAAAACCTGCTTAAATCAAAGCTGAATGCTTTGATTTAAGCAGGTTTTAGGTAACATTGTCGCAGATGTTCAAGAAATTCTCAGACAACTTTGTAAGATTTTTTTGTTCCTCCCTCATTTCTGTCTGCATGGTTTTAAAATCCCAAACCAGGGCTGACCTCAGCCTTTGAGGCTTGGCTCTGCCTTCAGTGAAGCAGCTGCCAGTGGTCCTGGAATATTTTCACTCAGATCTTCCAAAACTAACAGGACCACCCAAAGAAAAAGGGGCTAGTAGTAAAATATGGATGTCACGACGTATCAGCACACATCAAGCCAACAAAGTCAAATTTTAAATAAATAAATGAATCTTTTAAATCTGGCCCTGAGAAGTTTTAATTCGTACCAAAGATTTTAACACCAGTCAAACAAGTTTAAATCACGGAGATCTTTCTTTTTTTTTTACTCACTTCTTCTGATCTATAATTAATGCACAGTTCAAATATTGTAAAACTTGTCTTTACTTTGATGTCTCTGTGTGCGATCTGGTTGTCGTGCAGATATTTCAGCCCCTCCAGGATCTGCCGGGTGTAGAAGCCGATGGTGGGCTCGTTGTTCTTCAAGGGCCCCCACTTGGACCTCAGCAGGGCGGACAGGCTCCCTGCACACAGCAGGACAAAGTATGTCAAACCACGCACTCCCTCTGCCGTACGACTCATCTCAACACCAAGTTGTGCTACGGGAACATGAAGCGTCTCACCTCCAGGCACCTGCTCCATGAAGATCTTGATGAATCCATTCTCGCTGATGGAGCCCAGGTACTGGACAATGTTCTTGTGCTTTAGGTGTTTGTGGAGAGCGATCTCTTCGTGGAGCGGCTGAGAGTACCTGCCATCCAGAGAGAGAGCAGATGTAAAAAAATAAAAAATAAGATGGCAAAGTCAGGACTGTCTAAAATTGGTTCCCAAACATTTTCAGCAGCGCCCCCTTTTGGTAGATTAGACTATAACAGGGTCCCACTGGAACAAAAAAAAAAAACAAAATCACAGTTGAATGTAGAGGTCTAATGTATGACCTCACCAACATTTTCAGAACTCATTATAACCTCAGTTAGCATTGTGGCTAAAGTGTGTGAAGCAGTTAGCATTGAAACCTTTACTGCATGATGTTTGAAATGGAAGGTAAGCGTCTTTACTGCATGATGTTTGAAATGGAAGATTTACTTTGAGGTGTATCCTCAACTACAGACGCCACTGCATGCCAGAAAGGATTATAAGATTTTTCCCCCATCATTCTCTCTGGTGTTGTTTTCTACCTGCTGTGTTGTTTTTTTTTTTTCTTAAGTAGGAGAAGTCTGTCTTTGTCTGTGGGGTAAACTTCTACCTGCAAAAAACAAAGTGCATCTCCTTCTGGTTCTTCTGTAGAAGCAGATCACCTCAGGACAGAAGCTCATTTTAACAAGCAAATTTTTTAACCCTAAATGACTTCATAGAAAATGACTGTGAGAACACGGCATTCATATGACAGCTAATGTACACGTCAGCCAATTTGAAATTCAAAGAATTTTGACCTACATTCTGTTTTGCTATTAAAATAGTGTCAATAATTCCCTACTGTCGCCAGCAGGGGCATTATCACACACACACATCCTCTCACCTGCTGTCTTTCTCTGGGATTTCTTTGATGGCCAGTCGGACTTGGTTGCTGAGGTCACGACCCGCGTACACCACACCGAACGTGCCTTTACCCAGAATCACCCTCTCGCCATGCTCGTCGTACTCATAGTCGTACTGCAGGATAATATCAAATAAATAAAATACTCTAAGGAATTGCACTAATAATATATATATATATATTGTTTTTATTTGTCACAAAGACACTCCTACACTATTATATTGCAGTGATTCAGTGGGTCCATAGTCTAGCAGTTAGTACATTTGCCCTTTCTTTTATAAATGCAAATTTCCTTACTACAGAAAAACAGATATTGTTGTCACTAATGTTGACATGAATCTTGGTGTAAGGACAGGTTCTGTAGCACAGCTGGAAAGAACACCAGGTTAGAACCGACTGAGCATAGAACCTCAGGGATACAAGTCAAAATCAGTCGGAGAGCAGAAACCTGTACAGCTTTGCGTGTCTGAGTAGAAGAGGGCGGGGCAGTGAGGCATTTGATTTAATGAGCTTTTACCCCCACCACCCCAGGCTGTTCAAACAGAGACAGGTGAGGTCATCTGTTCCTGCAGGTGTCTGTCCACCTCTACATGTTGGCACTTTTTGTTATGCAAAACGTTAGGAAATCTACACAAAAATGTCAACTATGATGAAAACTGAGACAAACTGTGTTGATCCTGTGTCAATTCCACAGTCTATCTCTAGGCATCAGGCAGTTGTGCAGAGATTCCAGAATGATGAATGAGGGCAGGTGGCAATAAAACAACGGGAAAACAAGCAGCCGTTGGTGTGGAGGCATTCAAAACACAACAACAAAAGCTTGTATCAAACAAACAGGCAGAGAAGGAGAAGGAGGAAAAGTGCAGTTTTTGACCTTTAGTTCCATAGTAGGTGGAGGATGGAATGAAAAACCAAAGCAGACATTAATGCTGTGTTTGAATCCAACAGGAAGCCAGCTGCTCAACGCTTTTGACTGTTCAGAACATGTCTCGGCGCCGCCTCACCTCTAGGGCGTCACTGTCACACTCTCCCTCCTCCGGACCTTTCCAGCTCTCCTCAGTGATGCTGTTGACCAGATCACAGAATCTGCCAAAGACAAAAACAGCCTGGTTTGTTACAGACGCTTTGCACAGGTCTAAAAAAACAACTGTTATGTCAGAGAGTCATTTGATATTTGTGGAACCGTAACCTGTAATGTGAACGTGTGAACGTGTTCCTGCTGTTCTTGGGTTTCATGGGTGGTGGTGCACAGCAAGTACTTAATGGGTGTATACTAATGGGAGTAATGAAAGTAGTAAAAAAAAAAAGATTTTGTTCATTACTTTACTGTGATAAACTAAGATTAGATAGATATACTTTATTGATCCCAAGATAGGAAATTACAGTTATTAGATTAGATTGGATTAGATCAAATAAATACCTGGTAAATTAAAGGTTAAATAAATCAGTATATTAGGCCACAGGAGATTAAACTAGATTATTAAATTTTGATAAGGTAAAATGGTGAATGTGGTGAAAGTGAGATTAGATTACATTGTTGGAGCATCAATAAATTCAAGATAGCAATAAATTACCACAGATAACTCATATTTTTCTGTAATTTACTGTCTGCACCTGATGATCACATCCAAGCCTGTCACACACACACACGCGAGCTGCAAATTCTTCCCCTTATTTGGCTGTAATCCAGTCACACCAGGCTGCAGGTGTTCAGTAACACATGGGTCGTGCACGTGTGTGTGTGTGTGTTTTCTCGTGTATGCACACATGTCAGTCTTTCAGGATCACAAACACAATCAGACCAGATTGCTTCCTCTTCCTAACCACCTTTCATTTCCCTCTCTTCCTGTCTTTTCACCGCTCACATCCGCCTCACATTCACTCAGCAGCGAATGTGACTCACTGACTCTAACACTCCATATAATGGCCCTGCGAGTTCTTGTGAACCTCTGGTGCCAGGGTCGAAAAATCAACTTCACAGAAGCAGCAGCAGCATCAAGAAGGGTGAAGAAGAAGCAGCAGCAGCATCAAGAAGGGTGTAGATGGTGTTGAAGAGGGAAGAAGGTGGTGGTGTCAAGGTGTGACATTATTTAATGTTGGAGCAGTAATGATGACAATAAAGGTAGAGATTAGTCTTTGTGACTCAGGAATGGATGTCAAGTCTCATACTATATAATGTATATGAGTTTCTGTTTGTACAATAATTGAACAGAATACAACTTTTTTATGGACATTTCAAAGCTCTGGCTTTAAATTTTAATCAAATTTAAATAACTTGTATTCCTGATAACGATGTGTTAAATATATATCAAACAATTGTGGTACTCTATACAAATCTGATAGGTAGAATTTACCTATCAGATGTAGGCAGTTGTACGCTTTGTCTACTGCGCATGAGCACAAAAGAAAAAACACTGGAATACGCAGTTGCTTACCAGAGCCCATGAAATCAGTACACGCCTGGAAAAATACGTATTTTCATGAATAAGTTATATACGTTTAATTAATCTTAACTGTTAAACAACAAATAAACTTCTAGAATGCCGTTCAGTTCATGACAGAACGAGTTTTTAAACGGTCAGATTCGGCGCCAAACCTCGCTGCCGTCCGCCATTTTGAAAGGTAAGACTATTTATTTTGTCAAAGCTAAGGTGAAGCCGCGAACATGTATTTACCGTGTTTGTGTGTTTATTTGTTTTTGTTTAATACGCCGTGTGTGACTGTGAGTGTGTACTGCTATTGGAGTCGTTGCTCCCCGACAGTGGAGTGTTTGCGAAAACGCTGTACTATATTGTTTTATTGAACTGTCATTTCTGGCTTGTACTATTGCTACTTGACAAAGGCATCCTCTATGATTAAAATATAAAGGCTGACTGGCTCGCTTATTATGTTAGTTGTTCTCAGGTCTTACACGTATATAGTGCATTTACAACCTGTTGCTGAGTCACATGGTTTGATACTCCAAGTCACAGAAAAAATGCTTTAGGCTAGAACCCAAAGTTCTGAACGACAACAAAGTCCTGCAGACTGACCTTTTACAGTGCATCTCTGTGCAGAAATAGATCTGAAAGTCTTCTGCATTGTGCAGGACGTAGAGGAAGGCGCTGCGCTGGTCAAACTTGGAGATGCTGAGGGGGGGAGAGAGAGAGAGAGCCCACAGTGAGGGTGACAGTGAAGACACAAAAGAGAAAATGTCACATGGGAGAATGAATGAAGCTTTTCTCTGGGTTCTGTACTTCAGCTGCTGTATTTTTAGGACAGACGCAGGAGGTACCAGAAATTCCAGTGTGGCCACAAAACATTATTCAGTGATAAACCTCCCATACATTTCAGCTATTTTTAGATAATACATTAGGTGAGAGTTTTAAGGCTTTACCACTTTACCTTTAGTTCAAATGTTTTGGCTAAAGTTTTGCTATTCTCGTTGCTTGTTTTGATATTATTAGCAATCTCTGAGCAGCTAAGTTGTTTTTCTGGCTTAATATAGTTTTTTGTTGCTAAGTCTTTGATATTTTGGCAGTTATTGGTTCACATTTTTGAGTGGTTTTTAACCATTGTATGCAGTGAAGGGTACATTAAATGAGCACCAGCTTTCTTGTGGTATCCTTGTATAACACAACAGAATTGTAGTGTGTTTTTTTGTCAACGGAGAACTTAAATAATGCTAATTTTCTGCGCACATTCCGGGGGCATTTGCATGATTCGACAGCTAAATTGAAACTTTTATCCTGGGGGACGAGCGCCTGTCGGACCGTGCCAAGCCAGTCGACAGAGCTCTGTTTGTGTTTATTGTCGCTGGCTGTGCTGCCATTGCGTCCTGCTGACTGTCTTCAGCCTGAGTGGGCACAGAGAATGAGTGGTTCCCTAGCAACATGTGAGCACGGCCTTCTCCACTTCTTCTCTCCTCTGACACCGCAGTCCTCTGAGGAGTGGGGAAGATGAGGCGGTAGAGCAGAACAGAGTCATCGTCTGTGGCATTAATGGTGCTGCGTGGCGTTGTGGGAGGTGCAGTGACTAGAAGTTGGCGTGATGTGTCACAGTAATTAGCTGTACATACTAACTGATATAACACGTTTGGCAGGGCTTTTTGTAGAGTTTCAAAACTTGTTTATTTTTTCTCTGTGCAGAAGTGTCACGTTCTGTATTTCAGGAGGCAAATGAAGGAAATCTAATTATTTGAAAAATGTGGATTTACTGTAGTAATCTAGTCCTGGTCTTGTGACTGCAGGGCTCAGGGACTTCACCTAAAATCCATCCATCAATTTTTTGTGTTTATTAGGAGGAGCTGACAATTTGCAGCTAGACTTATGATGCTGAGACTGGGTTACATTCTCTAATTTTTAACTTTTTTTTTAGACTGGGTTACATTCTCTAATTTTTAACATTTTTTTTATCAACTTCTTCTTCTTTTACTTCAAAAAATGTTCCCTAGTTTGATTAAACTGAAGATGCAACTTGTTGTATGTAACATTATTGCTTTAGCTGTGCAACAGCAGAACTGATTTGATAGCTCATTTGAGATTAAAGATTAAGAACCATATTTCTTTCCTGCCTCTTCTAAACACAACATCTGTTCATGGCCTTGAATCAGCCAGTCTCTGAAGACACTCTGTGAGGTTATTATGACATCACTCAGCTGTGATTCGGGAGACGACACTGACCTGACACCTCGTACTGACGCAGCTCCGAAGTTCCACTCGTGGATTCCTTTGTTCTGCAGAATAGATGAGAAACAAATCAGAGGTTTTTCAGCCGCGGGGAGACGTGAAACTAATGTTCTCTCTCTTTGTCTAATGAAGCTGTGCTGACTGATGGTTGGTATTGGAGCTGTGGTCTAATCTCAGACGTGTTGAGTGACCTTACAGTAATAAAAAGACATTAGTGGTTTTATTACATTGAGTGTGAAACAAATGACAGAGTGATGTCAGTGCTGCTGATGCTGCAGGCACAACAGGGCAGCCAGTCAGGATGGAATCAGTTTCATGTTTTAGCAAAGTTTTCAGGCTGTTTCTTTTTTTCAGTGTTTAAAGAATGAAGTGTAAATTAATTGTACTGGACGTTAAAGAGGAAATGATGTAATGAGTAATATAGAGAGTAGTTTTTTTTATAATGAAGTCTTTAAAAAGTGGGCTGAGAAAAAATAAGCTGTAGGTCTCAGTCAAGGTTTAAACTCAAGAATGATTTTATATTTGTGCAGTTGGGACGACATTAACTAACATTATAAGATGAGCTGGTGATGAATGACCTCACCCACCTCATCATCTGGAGCAACATGCCAGATGGACACCGTGTTGTCCTCCACGTCCTTATTTATGGACAAATACGAGGGCTGGTACACTTTGGTGGGCTCCAGTATTAACACCTAAAAAAACAAGAGTGTTCTGTGAACTCCAGGCACTGTTATTCCCTGGAATCTTCAGCTGCTGGGAATCACTTACTGGGAACCTGACAGAGGAGACGTCTTTCTTGGTCGCCTCCACCAGGAAGTCCATCCAGAAATCCACCAGCTCCTGTTTAGGGGCGGTATGCTCAGAGCTGGGTTTCTTAAAGTGCTGGTAAATTAAGATGGTTTCCACCAGTGAGCGTAGATACCTGGAAACAAATGTTAACTCAAGTAAATGTAAACATTTATCTATTGACTAATGACTGACAAAAACAGAAACCCGGATTAGGAACAATCTGACAGGGTCATCATGAGTGGATGAATGTTTGTTTTTCTGGAATTTAAGGAACATTTTTGGAACTTTTTACAGCAGATGCACAAACTAATGACAGCAGGTGGTTAATGCTCAGACACTTGACTGTTCTCCACAGGCTGTGGCTCTGATTGAGCCTGTTATAATCTCACTGAACAAATATAGAACTTCATTATTCTGTCTCTGGTACAATTAATCTTTTGGAAGGATTACGTTCAAACAAATTTAAGAACATATATGTAGACTTTCTACTTGTTACTATGAAGACAATATAACAGCTAGTAGGTGCCAGTATTAGCAGGACAAGGTGGAGCTCAGTTGGGCAAAGATAACAGCTAGTAGGTGCCAGTATTAGCCTGACAAGGTGGAGTAACTTCCTCCTTGTGTTTTTTTTCACGCTGTCTACAGATGGTCAACTGTGGTTTCAGAAGGAAAAAGAAAAAAGCGAGGATTTGAGTGATGCAGAGACACAGTTGGTGATAGGTGTGGTCTAAAATTGATTTATTTATTTTTTCTTTATGTGAATCAATGTTTTGGAAGGTTGCTGAGGTTTTCTCTCACCAGATGGGAGCTTTGAGTTTGAAGAGTTTCTCGGAGGCCTGGATGACCCTGGTGTTGTCGCAGGCCAGGATACTGGCTCCCAGGAAGAAGCCCACATCCCAGTAGCTCTGCAGCTTGTCCAGGCTTCCTTTTTTACCCAGAAGGCTGCTCAGCTTAACTCCTGGAAAAATCACGATGACAGATAAAACCGTTTTTATTTATAAAGGAGGATAATTAATTTATTGTGTTTCCTTGGATCAGCACCAGTGGGGATTTTAGGCAGATGAGATAGAAGAGCAGGAAACAACTTCATGTCACAGCATGCAGCATGGAGCTTGACTGCGTTCTGCAAAATGTTTGAGACAATATTTTGGTTCTGCTGAGAGGAGATGCTTGAACATGTCCTGCAGTAACCAGACAAGACGAGTCAGGTGGTACTGTAGGGGGCGACTAGGGTGAAAGCAGTATAAACATGGTGTACAGGGACAGAGAGTTGAACTCTGCTGTTCCCAGGACAGTTTGCACTATTTCCCAGCCTTGAATTCCTTTGCAAACGATCAAACTGTGTCCCAGCTTGAAAATGGAAAAATGTGCCCTGGCATCAGTCAGATTTTATTTAGATTTGTTTTTTCTGCTGATGGCTGGTTTGCACAACATTTTGCACGACTACCATTTTTTCGTGAAAACTGTGCAACGTTGTTAAATGTGTTAATGATGTGTTAATAACGTGCACTTTTACATGACTCAGACTCATGGACCATTCATTTTGACTCCAGTTGTCAGGGCTGGGGTTTCAGCAAGGCTTCTTTTTTTTTTAAAGCATTTTTGAAGCATTTCATCAAAACTCAAGTACTTTGCAAACCTTGAAAAGTCATTGTGGAAATTCTGATCACACTTTTCAGCACTCCTTTAAACCATGTACTGTGTGTACTTCCTACAGTTTGTTGTTTTTTAAGTTTTCTTGCCATGGATTTTCTGTTTTAGCTAATCCCGCACTGCAGCTTCACTGATTAAATTTTTTTGTGTTTTATCAGGATAGGTTTAAGTATATTTATGCATCTGGGTTTAAACCTGTAGATCTACATGACAAAGTGGCAAAAGTTTTGTTTTTATTTTGGCAACTAGGTGTGAAGCTCTGTGGTTTAGCTGCTTGACTTTTCAAATGTAACCAATTTCCATTGTCAAAAAAGTTTTGGCTCACATTCATTTGCATTTTCATGCATGAGCCCAATCCATAAAAACAAACTACTTGCATTAACTGCAGCTGCAGAGTAGGAAGTCACTGCCAGGTGTTTCACTGAAGGGTGAAGTAAACGAAAATCAACAGATTCAGAGAAAGAGACAAACCCAAGCATCCACTCACCCACTTTGCGTAGCTCAAAAGAAGTGTCAAACTGGTGTCCAGCTGCCAGGAGGAGGACGGCGTAGTTGATGCCAGAGTGCAGTGTTGGCTCTGACTCAAACCCCTTTTTAAACCTGAGGTGAAATACAAAACGGATGACTCCAATAAACACCTTTCTTCCAGGATCATTTCTCTGTGAACTTTTATCTCCACTGAGCTTAAATTAGGAAATAGAAGGGAAAAAAAACAATAACAGCCATATTGAGCTGGGGCCACAGAACACCCGACGGTGAACGTGAATGCCCCGGCACTACAAGAAATCTCATTTATTTAATGACCAATCTGCTCTGCTCTGCAGAGGGAAGCTGCGTGACTGTTATTAGGAGCCTCTGCCAAGTGGTGACATGGAGATGAGAATAGGAAGCAGATGGGATCTTGATTTCTCCATGAGGCATATTCAAATGACGAAGATGTGAGCTCCTTGAAGGAATCTCCAGAAGGGATGGAGTTATCAGCAGGCTCGTGATGTTCTCGAGTTGATCTGTTGTTATTGGTAGCTCATCAGGAGACAAGTCAGAGCCAGGACCATCCCCAATCCCAAATGCCTAATCTTGTGGGATTAAGTGTCAATCAATTGAGGTTTCTCTTTTTTTTGTCTTAGGAAATCCTTACTTTTTTTATTATTGCAGCAGCTTCTTCCCACATCAAACTTTCAATAGTTAATAGTTCCATGCTACTTGATTCCTCTGATACAGTATTTACAAAATAAAAAATAAATAAATAAATTCAGTAATTTTTCATGGTCATCAGTAAATCAGAGACCCACACTCACCATAGTGTCCCACTGTCTCTGCTCTGTGTATCAGTAAAGTGAGACTCCAGGAATGTGTCCTTGTAAATGCGTCCCACCAGGCAGTAGATGTCCGAGGCCACGTTCTCTTCGTCCTCCACCAGGGGCAGCATGATGTCCAGGGCTCTCTGCCTGTCTCCTGGCAGGTTCCTCCTGCACACGTCCAAATATCCAAAATTGTTTAAGAAGAAAGCTAAAGATATAGAGCTAAGACTGACTGAAATAATTGAATTATGGATTGAATACATCAATTTATTAATCAATATTATTGATACTGATTGACAGAGAACTTATATTTTAAACTCTCAGATGATGTTTTAAATATTTCACAGTTTTGGTTGTGGTCATTTAAAAGTCAATTAAATGGATTGACTTTGATCCAATCATCAGTGGTTTTCTATTTTTGGATGATGACGCATGCAAGAGTTTTCAGGTGTGACAGGTGCGTCACGCCTTCAGTCCCATTTATAACTTGCCATTACACTGAAGTGGAGGTGTGATAAGATTAATAAGACGCTTATTTTTAACCTCATTAGTCGGTGCCTTTGTAATAAGAGAGTAAGTTCACCAGGCGGTTTGAACATTTTGTTTTTGACTTACCTGCTGCTCAGAACAGGAGAAGAACTTCTGAGCTCTTCTCAGTTAAAAACCATATCATTTTTATATATTATTTATATATTTCTGCTTCAAATCTACAACAAAGCAGATTTAGAAGAGTGTGTTAACATGGCAGAAAAACAAGTGAGAATGGAGATTTGAACAGCAACAGCAGCCCATTGTCTGGGTGCGTGTGTGTGTTTGTTTGTGTGTGTAGCTAAGGAACCGTAGCGTCGAGTGACGTCTTTCATTATCATACCTGCAGTTTCAGTGGAGGCTACGGACAGTCTGACCTAAATTACTGAGGTTTTGTGCTGCATTAAACATAATAGCCAGACATACAAGGGCAACTTGAGTTCAGTGATGTGGCAAATGCGCTACCCCGGGTTATTTGTTTGGAAAGTAACTTTAGAAACAGTCAAGTCTGTTAAATAAATATTAAAAAAATAAGAAGATAACTGCACGTCAAAGTTGAGTCTGTGTTAAATATTAATCTATATATACATATATCTTAAATATTTATATATATATCTGTAAATACCAATATGTCCTTGACGCAACAATTAGATTCGTAAAATTTAAACCAAAAGTTACAAATGTATTAACATTTTAAAGACAAAGTGTTTTATTTCCCAACTACGTTATCCAAAACGTTTTTTTTTTTCCTTTAGTGATTACTGCAATGATAAGAGATCATATTTAAAGCAAACTTGTGTTTTTACTTCACATTAGAGCAGAGAAAGAAAACATGATTTTATGCTGCATTTACGCTTTACATTTGCCATTTGTCAACGATCTGTCAGCAGCAACAAGTGGAGGAAGACGTGATCTTTAACGGCACATTAGAGCCACATTAATGAGTTGGAGTGAAAAATCAAACAACAGACACTTAAGCTGCACAATGTCTCCACGTTTACGACTGCTACTCCATTTGTTAACCGTTAACCAACGTGATATTATCATCCTAAACAGGCAGTGATGTCACGTGGTTCCTGTCCATTAATACCGACTCGGATTCAGGGAAATTAGCTCCGTCGAGATCCCGTTCCCTGCAGAACTGTGACATTTCTGGGAATTTCTGCATCACTCTCGACCACGCAGTGTTGACGGCAGCCTTCAGAGACATGGGGGCTGTTATACTGTGAAGTCTCACCCGGGCACAAAATGGGGGGGGGGGGGCAAGATAAGCATAATGTGGCTCCATCTCTGCAGAGCACAGAGGTTAAATAAAATGTACGATTACTATGGAGACAAATCCAAAGGGAAGAGATGATCTCTCTCTCTCTCTCTCTCTCTCTCTCTCTCTCTCTCTCTCTCTCCATCCCTCTTCATCCCTCTTCATCACACAGCTCCCTCACATTTTATCTCTCCTCCCTCCACAGGATTGATAAGAGATTTCTTCCCTCTCTCAGTTGAACTCACAGCCATATCAACGCCCATGTGTCTAAAGC